CACAGTATGTAGATAAGCTTTGTTCTCTGCTCACAAAGATATCAGAGTTAGGAAATGAAATGTATACATTATGCGATTTTGAGTATTGATTGGCTGTCTAAAACATGTGGGCTGAAGAAAAGATTAAAAGATACTGTACTTCCTTGTTATTTAAAACAAGTTGTTATGCAATCCACTCAAATTTTCTGTGACAATTCAGGGCCCATATCCTCAACATGCATTGACCATATTTACATCAACAACAGTGTTGTGTGCTATACAGAGATCTCTGCCCCTGATGGGTTCACAGACCATAATGAAGTTGCTGTGGTGAAAAAAGTGTCTTCTGCCTTCTCTCTTTCTGATTGTTTGTTTTCTAGTCCGTGTTTGTGCACACTTGGGGGCGCATAATAAAAAGAAAATTGACGCTAGAATACCGCTGTTACTACAATAATATTAGGGTACGAAACTAGTCCGAATTAAAAAAAGCTAAATATCATCTATACCTTGCTGATTGTCCTTCTGTAAAGAAGCAAGAAAGAGTATTTTGAATTGGTTCAGGTGATGTCTAAATGATTTTAATCACAAATTATTTATATACAAAATAAGTATCAATGTGTATTTCATATGGTAAAATTTAGGGAACTCAAGCAATGAGTGATGCTGTTGCAGCACAGATAGACAGAGAAGTGGATTCAGGTGAGAGTTTAATTTTGTTAAGTCATTGGATCCTGTGATCTCTGTTGGAGCTCACAAATGATGCCACATGAATTTTACTATAGTTTGCCTGATTAACATGTTTGGCTGTTATCTCCACTTCAGATGTATTGGACATTTGTTTGGAATGTTACCATAAAATTAGGGCTGCAACTAATGATTATTTTGCAAATCGATTAATTTGTTGATTATTTTTTTGATTAATAATCGGATAGCCAAAGGATCCCTAAAGAAGATCTTTTATGACATTAAACCAGGTGAAACTAAAACGTTTCCTCTTGAGGTGTTCTAGGTGCAGAATACTGACAGACAAAAACATTTTTTTTTAATCTTAAATGCAAAATCTTTATGTATTTTACAATCGCAATGATATATTATGTAATATAATTCGTGCTCTAAGTGGGTCATTCTGTAAGCTAAACAGTGGCGTAACTTTCAGAAGGACTGGTGTGGACATGTCCCCACCAACTTTGGGCATGGAGGGGACATTCAAATGTCAAATGACCACAGAAACCCTGGTTCATTTCCGCATGTTTTGCTTTTTTGAATTTAATTGCTCTCCTCAAACTACGAGGAAGTCGGAGCCCAGCAAGATGGGAGGAGGGATTTCGGGGTCACACTTTTTAGTAAGTTTTCTCTTTATGCAGTGCATAAATGTGCACCATTAAAGAAGTTTACAGTGAAATCGAACAAGACTCCATTGATAGATGCAAAACTCCTTAAAAAAGGAAGCATGTGCTCTAGGAGAAAACTGCAGAATCAAAGAAATGGACTGAAAGAGTGAGTAACAAAGCGACTACACTGAATAGGAAAAAGAAATAGCTTTGCTTTGTAGCTGCACCGGGAGTTAGTCAAATGTGGGATATTGTTTCGAGTTTTTGGGCACAAGGGCAGAAGTGAAAAAAGTTCTCTACAGACGGGCATCTGTTAACCCTTCGTAGAAGAAGTTCTCTATGCACTGAAGACAGTGGAACCGGAGTGACCACTGCTTTAGTGTTATGGGAACGAAAAGTCCAGGATAACCCTGTTACATTACTGTTGAATAATATTTTGAGTAATTTATGTCAATGTGGGGTCTTAAGTGCATACTGTTGGTCTAAAACTGTTTGGGTAATACATATCATTATTGTTATTATGGACAATAAGTAGCTGACAAGGCTACAGTAGTATCTATAATATGTCAACGTGCGCACATGTCAGCTGAGCCGTGTTGGCGTCTGCCGGGTTTAAAAGCTTAATCCATTATTGCTATCCATTTTAGTGTGTACATCCGCCATTTTGGCTAGCCAATGTCTAGGAGTGATGTCACACTTTCAAGTTGGTATAAAAAACACAAGTGAAATCATTCAATCATGCTTTATTTTTTATCATTAGTATATGAATATCTCAAGACTCTAGTATTGACAACAATTAAGGAGAGGAGAACACTTTCAATAAAATGTTTCACACCATCTTTAAAAGCGATTTGTTCTCCAGGGCTAAGAATAAAGCCGGGTCAATATGAAGTGCACTCAAAAGCTCTTGGGGGAGTTTAATCAGACACAATATGAATAAAAGTAACACAATAGTGTCTTTATGTAGGTCGTAACTAGGACATAAAGTATGTGTAATGAATTTCATTATCCTTAATCAAAACATGGCTCAGAGCTAGATGTTTTAATACTGTAGAAGGGGGGCTGTGAAGGGAAGTAGCCCACAGTCACCAAATATTGGCCTACATTTTTGTTTTGGAATAGTTTAGGATCAATAACGCTGAATTTAGTAAAGATCTAACGAGAAATTTGGAGAATACAACGCTAAATCTGTAGTGTTTTTCAGTGTTAATCATTTCAATTGCATGGGTGTTGCTTTGGAGTTTTTATAACACTTATAGTGTTGAAAAGCTCTGCAATTGTTGTCATCTAGCAACATAAATACCTTTGACCATTCACTCAAGACAGACTGGATCAAAACCTCTTGTTTGGATGTGCACTCTGGTGTGAAGGTGTACCTATCCCTTTTTCACTAATGCTAGTTTAAAATTGGATGGACTACCAATAAAATATCGTAATGTGGACAAAAAGGACTTTGGTTATGTGTAAAACAAAATACCAACGGGTCCATGAAAACATAAAATATTATTACCATGTAGACTGTGTCTAAATATATTGCTTGGTTGGTAAGGACTTTTTACCAGGAACAATAATTTATACTGTCAGTTTCAAGCATGTAAAACATTCATAAGATCACACAGGAAAGAAAGATAAGACCATTAGTTTATTTTTACTTGTGAGGAGAACAGAGAGAAATGTGTTCAGTTACAATATCCTACCTCTCCAAAGCACACCCTGCCGAGCCCTCTCACATGTAGCTCTAAAGGGTGGGAAGAAATAGCAGCAATGTTATCTATGTGACACAAGCATAACCAGTTTAAAATGGTTATCTTGGGGTCAAAAGCATGCTACTATCTTCTTGTTCCAGGCACAGCTGACCCTACCCCAGTAGAATACTTGTGGTTTTGAGTCACCGTTCTCTACATTTATCAAAACACAGCACACTTCTCTTGGGTGAGGCAACAGCTGCAGTCTTACCACCTTGCTTCCCCATCTGCAAACAACTGAACTCGGAAATTTGTACAAGCACTGCAACCTTGTAAAACAAATAACATTCAGTATAAACATATTAAAGGTATTAGAAATTAGTAAATATGAGATTACTTTATATACATTTGTTCTAACATATACAAAACTAACAAATGGATTGCTGGTTCAAGACCCAACTTAAGCTATTTCAGTATACACTAAACATTTCACCTGCCTTGCTGGTGATGCTGACTATATGCTTTGATTGTAAAAATATTGTATTTATTAATTTAATGTGTCCTAAAATAATCTGATGTATGTTAAAAATCAACATTTACAGTGAAAGAGGAAGAATGCAATTTTGAGTCAAAGTGCACTTATGTAGTGTCATGGAGCAATTCCAAGGGTATCGTATATTTTACATCATTAAAGACTTAAAATATTTACAAATTTCAATAGTTATTTAACTCAGAATCTGAGAGAATTATATAAACTCAGAACAAGTTTAATTTTAAAACTCTGTTAGTTGTGGAGCTAAATCAGTCTAAATTTTCACAGACACACATAAGATTCACACATGATTCGCCAAAGTACTTATGGTCCATAAACAGTTATAAATTAAATTACAAAGTACCAGTGGTCTTTAAACTTCACTGCATTTTTGTGTGGATTTTCGAGACTCTCCTGACGTGCCTCGATACACAAATTCATTTTTTTAAACGGGATGGTTTTCAACCAATTATGCACTCCTAATTATGCAACCACTAAAAATGGCCAAAAGTGTTCATACTATCATGCTAGGCAGTTAGAGACACCAGCTTTTTTCTGTTACTGGGCGCACATTCATCTTGACATGAAGTTGATACAGATCTTCCAAGGCAAAACATTGTACCTCCTGTTATTCGAAAAGGGAGGCTTGAGCATATGAAGTGTTAAGTGCTGGCCCAAGCAAAGACATACAAAGTTTAATACAGCACTGACCTTTGTTCATGGAAAACTATTACATCATTAACATCACTATTGCATCTATTGTTTTGCACTCATTTGTTGTGAAAGCCTAGTTTCCTCAGTTGAATGAACCAGATAATCTTTTCTTACACATTCTTTACTCCGACCTGAGAGAATTGGTTTTCAGTCAAACAAAAGTTGTCAATGACAGAAGGACAATATCAATTTTTTAACTCACTTCTTTAAGTTTTGTTTGGTGATAGAATTTGAGGCTTTGTGGGTTGTATAGACCAATCTATACAAAAAGAAAAAATCTAAGAGAGGATGTTGGAGATGCAAACAAAAGTTTAATCATTTGCTTAATCTCCTTTCAGAGAGACGCTACCTAAATACTGAAGGAAGGTCTGACATTAGGATATCTGCTGTCACAATGGAGGTAAACTGCAAATTTCTAAGAAAAGAGAATGATCAAAAATACTGCACATATTGGTGAAAGAAATACAAATTATCTTATGTTTTTCTTTAGGAAAGCAATATTAAACACTATGAATTTGGAGAGTTTTACTGTGAAGAAGAAAAGGGTCCTCTGCAGACAGCACATCCTGACTGCGAGGCTGAGTGTCATGACACCGGTACAGATGGTAAAGTTAAATCTAAACAATTTACAGCTCTAAAAAGAGCTGCTGTTTGGAAGTGTCTTACGGTGATATTAAAGTTGTCATTAATGTCTTTTTGACCTTTTCAGCTCTTTGTTGTCATTGGAAAACAACTGGGTATAAGATCAGCCATGAGGTAATGTCTCAGCCTCTGAAGACTTCTGTTGGGGTGCTGGAGACCTACATGGTGATCAACTGCAGGGAAGAAGAAACTTTACAAGATACAATGGACACCAACAAAGCAACAGAAATCAGCAATAACCAAGGAAAGCTAAATCTTAAGGAAGAATATTGCCAAAGTAAGCACTATGTGTCCCTTCTTTAACTGAGATTACGGCAAAAACAAATGCGTATTTTGCACTAAACATAAAACATAAAACAAACATGGCTGCGCCAGTTTTAGCCGAAACAGTCTTTCTTTTTGAAAAAAATAATCAAAAGATGCCATAGGTGCATTTGTGGATGGGAAGATGTTTGTGCATCCATCTTGACTGGATTTTGAAGAATTTGATTTATCAATTAACTTTGCTAGTAGTGAAAAAAAAACTACGTTACAACTGCCATTGCTGCTGTGATTGATATGGGAGGCAGGTGTCACTTGGTCATGGACTCGTTCACCTTGAAGAACTGCACTGAAAGTCCCACCCTTTTGAAAACCTTTTCAACTGGAGCCTTTCCAGATGAATCTGAGTAGTATTAAAATTAAACTACGCATATCAATCTGACATGCTACGTTAGTGTGGGGGCAGTGACGTCAGATGCTGGATGCAGATTTTGGTTCTCGCCCCGGCCCTGGCTTTCAGTGTTGTTGTGTTCTTGAGAAAGACACTTCAATCGCATTGCCTAATGATAGTGGTCAGAGGGCCCAGTGGTCCCACTGTATGGCAGCCTCTCTTCTGTGACTGAGGCCCAAGGCAGCTCTGGCTGCAATGTAGCTTGCCACCTTGTCTTTCTGCATGGAGTTTGCATGTTCTGCCTGGGTTCTCTCCGGGTACTCCAACATCATTAGTTAAGTTAGTTGGTTTCCCTAAATTATCATTAGGTGTGAGTGTGTGCGTGAGTGGTTGTTTGTCAAGGGTGTTCCCCCACCTCTCGCCCATAGAACTCTGGAGATAGGCCCCAGCACCCTTTGGATAAGCCTGAAATAAAAAATAAATGGAAAGTTGTTAATAAAAATACATATAAATATATATTTTTGAAAAGCCCATTTAAAACCTGTATCTTTATTATCCACAGGAACTGACCTTGAGAGTCTTTTGGAGAAATTGGGGTTGGAACACAACTACAAAGAGAAGCTATCATTAAAGAAAATACTTGAGATCAATGAGAAGACAGTTACTGATGACCCTGTTAAGTGTAAAACAAATGTTCCATTGTATTTTCTTAAAAAATTAATGATGGTCAATGTTACTGCTAGGAATGTAAACAGTACCTTATGTGACTCAACTGATGTTTCATTAGAATCAAGCTATGATAATGCGACTGAGACTGGAGATTGCAGCTTTGAGGATCTGTTTAAAGAGGCAAATATTGCTAAGGTATTTAATCCTCTTGATATAATCACTGCTCTCTTTCTGTGTTCAGATGGCTTTGTTCAACAAGAACTAGAACTAAAAATGTCCATGTGTCAGATGTCGGTTCCCTTCCTTCTTCCCAACTGTGATACAAAACAGTGCACTCTTATGCTGTGGGCTATGCGAGAAATTGTGAAAAAGTACAGACCTCCAGATCTTTTGGAATCAAAGGGCTTTATAGAAGAAAGAATAGCTACTTCTAGATTCCCACTAGTATCATTTGTGAGACTGGGTGAGTGTTCCTTGTCCAAATCAGAGATTCTCAATAAACTTCTTACAAATTCTCAGCAATACCATGACACCTTTGTTCACCGCAACATGGAGTGTGGCGACAGTCCAAAACTAATATCCAGTGGACTGACTGAAATTACATGGTACCTTCCCTGTGGAAACCAAAACATGGACATCTTCAATGAGCCAGTAGCTATAGCTAATCTGCGTGGTGACATAGCTTCATTTGAAACACAATTCTCCTTTTTGTGTCAGACATCTGCAGCAGTTTTTGTGTTCTTTGATCATTTGAATGCTGAGTGCAAACTGCTGACTAACAAAAAACACATGGCTCAGATCTTCTTGGTGGGAAACCAACAAAGCCAGAGCCTTACCCCAGATGCTCTTAAGACAATAGCAGACAAAATGAAGCTGACCAAAAATAACATAGTTATAAAAACCAGACTGACAAATGATGCAGATTTTGTCAAACGTTTGAGGAAAACTGTGAATGGTGTACTTACCAATCGAAAGTCAGTGATGTCAGTAGAGGAGATGGCTAACATTGCACGTGAATTTAAGATTTTTGTTGATGAAGATTCTCCAGAATGCAAGAGTGGGAAGACCAATGCAGATGCTATCACTGCAGAGATTAAAGATACCTTTAAATACAAAGAGAAACAGTTTCCTTTGCAAGGACAAATATGGAAGGAGCTGACTTTCTTGGAAAAAGAACTATTTCGTCTTCGAAAAGTTGGTTCCAAGGACATAGAGCAATATAAAGACGAACTTAAACTTAAAAAGGAAAAGCAGCGTGAGGAACAGAACCGCCATGCTATGTCAAATGTAATGACATGCTTTATTAATGCAATATCCAGCCCAGAAAGAGAGAGGGGTTATTTTCTGAAATGGATGAGAATGAATCTTGACAACTTGTCTCGCGTAAAACTTTCTGATCTTAGGGCTCTTTACAAGGAAAAATCCAAGGACTCTGAGAACAAAAAGGAAATCAAAGAAATTGACCAACAACTTTCCAATAGCTCACTGGGAGTTGAACACTTCTTCCGTGAAATGGGTCAGATCTACGAAGCTTCTCTTTACCTTCCAGAAACCGATCCATCACGCCAACAACTGCAACATCTGCCCAAACTCTGTGCTCAGTTGTTGCTGGATGGATTTCCTCTTGAGCTTGTAGATGGAGATGCTTCCAACATACCTCTCAGATGGGTGACTGATGTTCTCTCTCAGCTCAATGACTTGGTGTCTCCAAAGAACAAGATAGTGGTCGTCACAGTTCTTGGAGTTCAGAGCACAGGAAAATCCACCCTCCTGAACACCATGTTTGGAGTGCAGTTTGCAGTCAGCAGTGGTCGATGCACTAGAGGTGCCTTCATGTTATTCATCAAAGTCAATGAAGACTTCAAAAAAGTTCTAAAATGTGACTTTATGGTGATCATCGACACTGAAGGCTTAAAGTCTCCTGAACTTGCTCAACTGGAAAACAGCTATGAACATGACAATGAGCTGGCAACACTTGTTGTTGGCCTGAGTGATATCACTATTATCAATATTGCAATGGAGAATTCAACAGAAATGAAAGACATCCTGCAGATAGTGGTGCATGCTTTCCTCAGGATGAAGGAAGTCAAAGGAAGCAGAAAGCCTAAATGTCAGTTTGTTCACCAGAACGTTTCTGATGTTTCAGCTCATGAGAAGAACCTACGAGACAGGAAGCTGCTCCTAGAACAGCTGAATGAGATGACCCAGGCAGCAGCTAAAATGGAAAAGAAAGAGGAGAACAAGAGCTTCACTGATGTTATGGAGTATAATCCAGACACTGGGAACTGGTACATTCCAGGACTCTGGAATGGAAACCCACCAATGGCACCAGTTAATGTAGGATACAGTGAGGCTGTCTATGAGCTCAAGAAAAACATCATCCAACAGCTGGAGAAGTGTGGGTCAACTTCTAATAACATCTTGGAGTTCAGAGAGTGGATAACCAGCCTTTGGAACGCAGTAAAACATGAAAACTTCATCTTCAGCTTCAGAAACAGTCTGGTAGCTGATGCATACATGAGTCTCTGCACAGAGTACAACAAATGGGAGTGGGAGTTCAAAAAAGAAATGTACACCTGGGTTTCCAAAGCAGAAACTAGAATTTCTAATTTTGGTAACATTGCTTCAAATTCTGAAATGACAGACCTAAAGGATTTAATCACTCTATTAAATAGTGAAGCCAATACAAAGCTGTCTACTTTAGAGTCAAAACTGCTGGACAACCTGAAGACATACTTTGACCAGCCAGAAGGTCATGTTTACCTGGTTGAAGCATACAGAGAGGACTTCTCAAATAGCATAAAGAGTCTTAGAGGACAAACTGAAAGATCAGTGTCTAACCAGCTAACAGCAGCAGCTGAGATCAAACAGGGAAAGCAAGAACTTGACAAAATCAAGACCAATTATACAGACAAAATCGAGACAGCAGTTTGTGCTTTAATTAATGAATGTCGTAAGAGCAAAACTAAAATGACAGATAGGGAGCTTAATGAACGTTTTGATGATATGTGGACCAAAACACTGAGCACCTTGTCTTTTTGTAAACAGCAAACATCAAATATCTATGCCAGTATTTCCCTTCAGTTGCAAACCAATCTTTCACGCAAGGGAAGCCATGCATGTGAACTGCTCAGTGAGAAAAGCCTCCAAAATTGTGGATTGGTTCCCTTTAAATACAAACATGAAGGATTTTTTAAGAATCTGAAAAACAAAATTGATAAATATGTGTTTAATAAAAATATCGAGAAGATAAGACAGGAAATTGGAGATAGCCTCATATCTGCTTGCAATGACTGTGTTAGTGACAAAATCAAGAAAAAAACAAATTACCATGATACTTACATTCAGGAGATCCTTCACATTATTGATGAGAGGTTGAACAATAGTGATGAGCATGATATTCAGTTTGAGGTTTCTCTGAAACAGCACATCTGTGGATTTGCGGCCAGGAAGTTTCAGGAAATGCATAATGATTTTATACAAGAAAATGATCCCTACAGATGTCTGCAGAAAAACAAAGAGAATTTTTGTGCAGATTTCAAAGATGTGTTTCATGAGAGAGATCAGTGCCAGAAGAAAGCTGAGGAATTCACAAACCAATGTCTGAAACCTGCTGTGGAGAACTTTGTCTATCGTTCCCTTGGTCTTGATATTGTTGATAAAATGTTACAAAAAGAAGAGTTTAGCACACGGATGTCCTTCCAGTATTCAATTTTACTGGATCTGATTTCAAAAAGGGACTTCGACAGCTTTAAGACCTATATATGCTCATATGAGGATTATGTGAAATCATGGATATTGGAAAAAATTATGAAGAGTTTCTCCGCTGAGTTTACAGTATGTGAATTTGAGAACAAACATCTTGATTCCTGCATTAGCAACATAAATGTTGCCATTGAAAAGGCAGAAAAGAAAAATCCTGACACTCTGAAGATGTTTGCAGAAAATATCTGCGAAGAACTTGATGATAAGCTGGTCATTTGCAAGGATGCTCTTGATGGCTTCAGAGTTTTAAACAAAGCTGATCAGAAACAGTTTGCAAACTCGCTCAAAGTTTGTGTGAAGGAAATGAACGAAGCTCTCAAAGAGGATTTTAAAAGCATAATCTTTGAAACAAAGCTCACACATCTCCATATAAAACCACAAAATGTCCTATTCAAGAGAGTTATTGGTTGTGGTGAACAGTGTCCATTCTGTAAAATATCCTGTGATGCAGGAGGAGAAGCTCACCATGAACACTTTGCTTCCCTGCATCGACCAAACGGTTTGGGTCGATATAGGTGGGAAAATTCACAAAAACTTACAACTGACATCTGCTCTTCTCTTGTTAACAGTGATAATAGGTTTTGCTGCAGTGCCACAAACAACAGCTACCATCCCTACAAAGAATATAAAAACTTTTTCCCAAACTGGAAAATTCAACCAGATGTGAGTCTAGAAGCATCAGATTATTGGAAATATGTAATGAACCAATACAACAAGGAATTTGCACAAGCATATATTGCGGAGCCTGCTGACATTCCTGGTGGTTGGAATACTATCACGGTAGAAAAGGCAAAAGCAAGTCTCAAAAAGTCATTTAATATCAAATGAAATCATAATTCATGGCTAGTCGAAAGACTGTCACTAGTTCTTGCATGTAATGTAGGTAGTTTATGTTTTTCCATTTCTTTCTTCAAGAGTCTTTATTATTAGATGTACTCTTAAAGAAATTTTGCTGAAACACCAGCTCAGAATGCACATATAATATGCATACAAATGAAAAATGTGGAAAGAAAAACTACAAATTAGCATTGTTGGACAAAGGTAAATGTTAAAATGTTAATACCTCATTTGCTATATCTTTATTTTTATCAGAATTTTGTTCTTTAGCATGTTATGATTCACTAACTTTTAACTTTTTTTGAAAAGTATCTTGGAATCAAATAATTACCTTCTTGTTAGAAAAGTATCAATAGAAATGTGCTCCTACATTGGATGCAAACCAGAAGGGGGGGGGGGGGGGATATCATAGTTTCACTGCCAAAGCATAAGACTTGAAAACAATGATTATGTAGATAATTTAAGTTTGGATGATATTCAAAGTTTTATTATAAATTATTTACAAACAGTATCATCTCACTTTAATAAACTCTTTACTTTTTAAATGTCATTCTGCAAGGGAAATTACTGCACAGTCAGCCATTCTGCTGAGTTTGTTTAGATACAAAACCTTTTAATAAATGCTAAGTCAACCTGATTGTTATTCATATATAAAGGTATGTATATGAGTTTGAAATTGTCTCAATGATGTGATTGAAAAGATTATGTATTTCTATGTATACTTTTGATTAGCTTTTTATTACAAGTTGCTTTGTTTTTGTTGGGTGGGTTTATAAAAATTAATCAAAAAAATAGGCTCATTTAAATATTTCCTTTTGATTGGTAAGTTTAATATAAATAAGAAAATGTTCATGGCACCAGTCATCGCTAGATATAATTTTGTGTTGGAATGAAAATGTCATTATTTTCTTTGCTTTTGTACCATCTCCCTGTAAGAATAATAAAGGGTTTGTGTTAACCTTTCTTGAGATCCTTGGTTTATACTTTATTTGTCCTGTTTTGATATCCAGCTTTTTTTCTGAAATTAATTTGAGTTTGGCCTATTCAATTTCAGTAGTTATAATTTCACATGCATTGCTGTGCCTTATAACCATGAGATAAATATGACCATAGGCAATTTTATTTATGGAGTCTTCCTTGACCACTTGGGCGTCCACATGTAATTGCAGTCCTCCTAAAAGACAAATTCTCTTCAACCTGTACCATGCATGAGGGAGACACAATTGTTGTGAAATTGCACTTGTTTAAATAAGGATGTTATTGATTATTATAATTGGAATTAAATTATTTTATATCATCCATCCTTTTAATCTCTTTTTTTTGAACAGTGTCCTGTCTGGAGATGTGGCA